TCATCCTCATCCCTCCCGTTACCGTGGGCCTCTTGTCTGGCAGCCAGACTGTGGTAAATCCCCTTATGCTGCCGCCATAGGAAGGCCCTGTGTCGCTCCGTCTTCAGGGGCCGCCGACTGGCACGTGGATCAATCCAAAAAAAAAAAAAAAGGCTTTTGGCCACAGACTGTTCAAATCAATCTGACAAGCCACCAAATGCCGACAAAGCAGAGCGCCGACTTCTTGACGGAAGAGAGAGAGACGATGCGATCTGACGGCCAGACTGGCGACGCGTTGCATTTACTCCATTATCTGTGCATTTTACATGTCAGCATATACTTTTTAAGTATACGTTTTTGATAATTCTCATTACTTTGTCCCACGTTACTGCAGGACACACTGGTTGCGTTTCTCTCATGTGTTACTTGCATGCACGCTGGAGGGCAGCTGGTCCTCCCCCCTCCTCCAGTGCTGACCCGGCACTGTGGTGGTCTGGTTATTGGAGGCTAGCTGGTCCCGGGCCTGCTGGCTCTCTGTCATCCCAGCCCGGCCGCGCCTCCACATGTCTGTTCAGAGCAGCACGACGGAAGCTTTAGGCGGGAGAGGGATGCGAAGCGGCGCGGCTGAGCAACCACGCGGACGCCACCAAATGTTTGGTGCGTCGGTCGCGCCGGCTATTATTTTTCCGACAAAAGAATAGCTGCGTCCGTGCAGGCGAGCTGAAGTCACGTGACATACCCGCATAGTATGCTTCAAAGCTACTGCCGCTTACTCCTGTTATATTTAAATTGGTCGTGTGTTTGTTGAAGTTCAAGTTAACTTTCCCCGAGGAAGACCGCCCGTGGTTGAAATGTTTCCAGACGTATCTACATCAAAACAGATTAGGGGTGTAAGAAAAAAAGTTGCTTGCGACTGAAAGTGTTTTCCGCTTCATGCTTTTACTTGTCTATGCAAAGTACAGGGTTTTTTTTCTCTGTGGCCGCTCGGCTGATAACACAAAGGAGAGGAGAGATGTTGACATGACATAATGGAAATGGCACACTTTGTTTTGCTCCGGCGGTGAGAAGTGGAGAGGGTTACGCTCAGTAGTAAAAAAAGGGACGTTTGGAAAGTGGAGCAGGGACGAGTGGAGGCAGAATTACACGTAATTATCGCGGCCGGCTGAGCCTCCACTCTGGGTGTAATTAATGCAGTTCAGCGGGGAGAGGGCTTTAAAATGGTTGGTATATTCAAGATCGTTTCAACGATTTCTCCACGTTCAACAAGATAATATTAATGAGCCTCGGTTCTTAGACTCAGTGATAAACTCGATAGCTTGAAAGAAATATGAAAAAAGGTTGGATATGATACTTTTGCCGTCAATCATGTGGAGAAGAGGTTATTTTAGATGTTGCAGTCGCCAACTAGTTTTGATGGTAGAATTATCAGTTCAGTTTCGCTCTTTCTGTAGCACATGTTATTAAAAGTACATTCTGAGTTTATCTGATGAGAATGTGGCATGAATGTCTTATTCTTCTAGGTGCTCATCATTATGCTGCTGGCGAACCGACTTTGCTGTGGCACTAAAAGTTTAACTCTCTGATTCTTCAAGGTGTCAAACGTATTCAGAGTAACTTTCATTTAAAGTAACTTTTTTCTTAGCCTCGTTGAGTTTATAATACATTTTTAAAAAGTCATCAAAATAATGAGCTGTGCTTTTAAATGAACGGCCGTTGCCTACAAATGGAAACGAGTCAAGTACAGCAAAGAGAACACCCACAGTGTTGATCAGGAGATTAATACGTTCCTCTCAGTCCTCTACGGAGCTACGGGGCTCAGATCTAAATGAAGAGCGGAGCGGGAGGCCCCTTCGCGCGTCTCAGCCCACCGCCGCCTTGGACGTTTTATTGCCTGAGGCTCCCCGCCGGGAGTTGCGCCTCTCTCCCGCTCTCGTGTTCCAACAATCCCCCCCACACTCCCGCTCCTTGATTGGTTAATGAGGGGCCGCCGCTCCGCTCCGAGCCGAGGAGGTGATTGCCTGCGCAACACCTACGCTGCCATTAGGGCTCGGCGACGGCCTATTTGGAGAGCCGGTGTCAGCCCTCGTCATGCTAACTGACACATACGTGACGTCGCCCACGGGGGGGGGGGTCCCGGAGAGTGAGTGGAGCGACCTACGCACGACGCCCCTCATCTGTGGTGCGTGATGAAGATGAGCAATCAGCAGCTAATGACACAAATATTCCCCTCGTCGGTTGGTAAAGAGCAAAAAAACGGGATGTTCATCATCGTCTCGCACACCTTCACACTCCAGCCTCCGGGGTTCACTTTGTCTCGTGCGTGACTGCGTTCAACTTCTCCGCTTCTGTCCGAGCCCTCTACATCTCTACAATCCTCTTCTTCCTCTCCATCCCACTTCCAACCGCCTCTCCCTCCTCCTCCTCCTCTCTCGCCTCCCTTGTGTTCAGACGTGGTGTTCTCCTCCCAGCGATGGCTTCTCAACTCTCCAGATGGCACAATCGTTTCCACAGACGGGGGAGGCAAAAGGGGGGGGGTGGAGGGGGGATTTATTTTGGAGGGGGGGGGAGTAATCAAACGCCCAAACTCACCCTCACACCTCTTTGTCAGCGATGGTTTTCCAATAGGAATTGATCATCAACTCAGTTACAACACCGTTAAGGATTCAACCTTCGTTCGTGTGTCAAACTTCCTCAAGTCAAAAACTGGATCAAAATACAACTTGCAATGTCGACGCATGGAGCTGCAAGTGCTGAGCCCCCCCGTCCATCTGTCTGCTGTGCGTAAAAGCCACATAACACCCAATCATCCTCTAGCATCATTTGATCTCTACGCTCATGAAATCACAATGGGAATTCCTAACCAGAAGGTGGGTTTTGGTCAAGTGAGTCATTCACACATGAAAAAAAGAAATCAAGACAGATAGTGTGTTGCTAATAGTCTGAATTGCATTTAGTGGGTGTAAATAATCATTTCCATACAACGCTTGTACATTTCGTTTTGATTATATTCTGCAAAAGCAACCTCTCAACGCCAAATGAGGTTTTAAATATTTACGCCAAAGTAGCTTACGTTTGAGGTGGTTAATATTTGTATTTGAAATCTAATTGTTTCAGTACAGATTTGATATTTACCTTTTTTGAATAAAAAAAAACAGCCAACACACAATGAAAGTGAGTGGGAATAAAGAGAGTACGGAGGGCTCGTCACGTCCTAGTTGATTGGCGAGATTGGTGAATGGGATTCATCGCGGCGCGCTCACGCGTCAGCATGCATCGCTGTCGCGGACTCTTTGCGGAGGACCACGTCACAGCCGACGCAAGGGGGCCCACTAAAATACACTAACCAGTATGCTGGAGGGTGAATTATAAAGAAGGAATTATTTCATCTTTTTTGTATCTCGTGGTGAGTCACATCTTACTCACTGGTCACTGGAAACAAAGTGGGTTAAAGGCTGTTAATGTGAGGGCTTCTGAGCAAGCCATCATTATGTCGGTTATTAAGTGTTCAAATTGTTGTAAAGCAATTCTGTGAAATGCATCCTACACCCCGTACCATCAGTAAACCACACATCGCCTCAGTTACCTTTAACAATGAAAAGACACAGCCGACCTGGGAGCAGCAAGGACGCTCATCCTCCGCCCACGCAGAGGTCCTCGAGCGCCGCTTTGAGAAGCACTCTGGCGCTTCAGCAGCGTGGACGCTCCTGCCTCAGAGAAGCAGTTTGTAAAAGGTTGGGTGACGCTTGTATTCACTGAAGAAAATGTTTTAAGAGACTCATGAAAATAAATATGTGGGATAAAAGACAGACATATGGACGCGACTAAAAGACATCGTGCCTTCGCCGTATGAAGGAAGGAGAAATCTGTACATCGAGGCCTCCGGCGACTCTGACTCTCAAAAAGCATCCATTCCCTATGCACGTTCTGCAAAAAAAAAGCACATCAACATTCTGCCTGCACCTGAGAACATGCTTGTGGAGAAGTTCCCCGGTCACACGGTGCAGCAACTGTCCTTTAGCGAGGAGGGGATTTATCTTATTACATGAGGGAAAACCCACAGAAATGCACAACATACTGTAAGCATGAGCCCAGCATAGCCAGCGCTGAGAGTTAATTAAAGCCGGGGATCTTCTCACTGCAGCATCCCTTTGTAACGTGACCCAGTGATGACGGCCATCGGCATGAGAACGACACGCGTGCCAGTGGCTTTGGTCTGGGAGGTCATCGTCCCAGCGGTAATGGCATTTGGCACCAGTGGTGATCATGTGGCTTTTAGTCCGTCCACTCAGTATTAAGTAAGAATACCACCTTCTAAATGCACAGAAGCTCTACAGACTCTGGTGATCAGGCCTTTTTCAATGTGTTAGTTAGATACTTGAAGCCCGATAACAGTGATCTTTGTCACATGCAGAGCTTGTGGAGTCGCTTTGTAATGCATGAATTCATATTATTGCACAAATAAGAAAGAGGGACAACAACCACAATGGTACAAGTTTACTTTAATTAGAAGTATACTACATATCATTGCCTATAAATGTATCTTCCCTATCAAATATTTAATCTTATTTTCCATAACATTTTTCTTCCATGCTAACGATCTTAATTTGACCGCAGTAAAGCCCTTATGACTCTCCCTGCTGTTTTAACCTCGGCCTCTCTCACTCCTCTCACTTTCCTTTGCCTTTCTTCCCATTTGGGCGGCGACTGTCTCAGATGTCTGGAGGAGAAAGGTTACACCAGCAAAGATGGTGGCATCGGGGTGTTGATTTCAGGGCACGTGTGGCACTCTGACTCCGTGTAAAAAGCATTAAGGGAAAGTGCAAGGTTGCAGAAGAGCAAGGTCAAATCCGACTGAGCAATAAAATTAAAACAGATTTCAGGATAACAAAGACGAGATTCAAGACAAGCGCGTTGTGTTGACCAGCCGACACACCTGTTAACCATTCGGCTGCTAATTGCTGTGTGAGCAGCTGTTGCTAATGGGCTTCGTTTAGCGGGATCAGTGTATAAAGGACACACGGAGGGATATCTGACAAAGCCAACGTTTACCCCTCAAGGCTGCTTAGCCACATTGGTCTGCACGGCTCAAGCTACTTACCAGCCAACAGTCATGGCTCCTGGACTCATTCTGCGGTAAATCGTATATTCATGTTGAGCACTGTTTTATTTGGCTCGACCACCTTCAATGGATTTTAATTGGCTGTTTGTTCTTAACTGTCCGCCTGCAGGATTTCCTTGATTTGTATATTTTTGTTTGGCTGCAGTGCTGTATCACCAACTAATAAAGGTAATGATATTCTTTTATTCTCCCACCTGGCCTAGCAACATCTAACCTTCTCGTTCCTGTTTTCCAAAACTCCACCAGTGCCTGCCTTGCATAACTACGGTGATGACGACGAAGCGATGTTTTCTGAGTTCGTCGATCAGAGTAACTGGCAGACAAATAACAAACCGGCCGCCCCGGTTTCCACAAACAGGCCCTCGGTTACCTATGGGCCCGTCCCGTTCCAATCACCAAAAAAACAGCCCAACGCACCACGTTCTGCGGAGATGGTGAGACTTCATAACGGTCGCCCAAGAGACTGGAGCCGGGAGAACCCCGACGCGAGCCTTCTGTTTCCTTTAAGCCCCAACTCCCAGAAGAGCGATCCGGGGAAGCCTCAGCCGGGCCGTGTGATCAAATATCCGTCAGAGGGCACTCTGCCGTCTTCACATGCAGCCACGCCGACTGGCAACGATGAGGACCTAAGCAAGGGCTCTTCACCCTCCCCCACCCCACAAAAGGGCTCGTTTGCTGGTAACCCGTATTATGGGCCAGTCGGGACCATCTATCCAGTTTCGCTGGGAAGCCCCTCTGTTGGCCTGTCCGGAGGCAAGCGCGGCCCAAGCCCCGGCTTCAGTCCGCCTCGTAACCGGCCACCAAAACCCGTTCCCGCCACCCAGACGGCGAGCGAACAGCCTCCTCCTCCTCCTCCCACTTCCCCTCCTGTCAGTCCACGCATCATCGTCCAGTCCAGAAACGGATACCAGCGAGCCAGTTATCTCCAGAGCAAGTCCAGGTACTCTCCACAAGTCCACCCTTCAGCGCCTGAAGAACCCTCAAAAGGTACGTTCCCCCCCCCCCTCTAAACGTCACTCCTAAATACTTATTTAAATTTATGTCTGATCACTGTTTGTCTTTCAGGATGAGTGGCGAACTACTTGGCTCATATGTCCCCAGTAGCAGGTAAGCGATTGTATTTCATGTGGCATTTTAAAATTGATTGTAGTGCAAATATCAACCCCTTGCATTCTTGTTTGCAGATTGATGTGCCCCCAAAAAAGAACTAATAAACTTTTGGAATTTACATTTTCTTTTTGTGGACTGTCACTGAATCTGAAAGCTCTACACACTTAAGGTTTTAGAGTAACTGCATATTTAAAGAACTGGATGTCTGCAGGAGCTGGTGCCGTCCCAATGATTAAGCACATTTCACTTTTATGCTCTTCGGCGATAGAGGAGCTGTGAATGTGTGGCAGTAGGCTTTAAATTGGCTCAAACCGATGCTGGTGATGTCATGTCACTAGTGTATTTTTCAGTTGTATAATTTACAAATGCATAAGCATGCGTGGTAGGGTGTTTACCTTGACATTGGAATCCTTGTTTCCCAAATCCCCTGCAAATAAAATGACATAATGGTTATATTTTTGCCACGGCAACACGCACGTTCAGTAGCTGCTTCTAACTTTCAGTATTTAAGCAAAAGCATTAGTCAGTTTGCATTTAAAAACAAAGTCTAGAAAGGAGAGTAATCTCCTCGACCAACTATTCAATATCTGGATTCATTAAGGTTTTCAATGCAAACATGCTGCTGCAAAAAACGATCTAAATCATCCACGATGATGCACCAGAAGTGAGTGGCGTTAGTGTGCGCTGAGGATGCTCACCATATGAAGTCCTTGCAATGGCTGCAGAACGTCGGCTGCTTGAAAAACCTCGCAGTAAATTTGTGGTTCTTCACTTCGTGCACATTTTTCTGCCGCAAAGCGCCTTTGCGGGCGAATCTGTTCCCGACCCCGGCTGAGTCGCTGTAGTGCAGGAGGTGGTCAGCCATGACGGGGACTGAAACTGCACCAACAACTTGCTGTTGTCCCGGGTGTGTTAATTTTTCACCGCTCTGACGGGAGATGCTGTCTCTGCCGGAGGAGCCTCCCCTCTGCTCTGCGTGGACTTCAGCTGAGCGCTTCTTCTTCATCCAAAGTGACGTAGGGGAAGTCCGCCTTCGCGCGCTGCGGGAACATTCCGCTTCGGTTTCAGCGCACGATTGACCGCCCGCGTTGGTTTAGAAGTTGTGGGTTCCCTAAACGCACCACGTAAACGGGCTTTGTGCGCTCGTTGGGGGGTGTTTTGTCACGTATTGTGGGCAATGTGAAATAATTCGTCTTTTAATGAATGAACCGACAGCATGTCCCTCCACCCGTAACTCACCGTCCCCCGAACTGAAAGGGTGGTGCGCCATCGTGTGGACCTAAAGGACATAGCGGGATTTGACTGCCGAGAATCGTGTCCCTCATCTCGGATATTTCACCTTAATCGGGTGATCATACAGATTCTTAATTGAAAAATAAAATTCATAGAACAAACCGGGAAGCCAATGTGCACCTTTTAATAAAAGCACATCCGACGGCTTCAAAAAGTGAAATTGTAAAAAGGATGAGTTACTATGGCAACAGCGAGACGCCGCGCGGTCGCCACGGGAAACCGGATGTGGCGTAAAGTGGATCGCTGAAAGTTTTGAACCATTTTGAGCGGCCAAATCCGTGCTTAAAAAGTAAGTCGCTTTTTTACGTTATTTAACGTCTACACCAACAGTAACCGGTCTGTTTGCGGATGTCTGTGAAATAAATGCGCTTTAGCTCGTTCGCTAAAGCTTCACATTAGCTGCAGTCTCACTCGATGAAGTGACGTTAATGCTAACGTTCGTTATTAGTTAACGTTAGCTTGCTAGTTGGCGAGCCGGGTAGTTATTCGCCGGTTATCATGGCATCCTGTGCTGCCATTACGTGACACTATGTCTCCGTGCCTGTCCTCTTATGTCCAGCTAGCTGGTCCCCCCCTCTCAGTCCGATTCAGCCAATGTAGCTAGCTAGCAGAGGCCACGCTGACCACTGGAGTCAGCCTCTTGTTTACCTTTTTGATCCATTCATTCATCCCTTCAGGACACAATGAGCCAACACCAACACTCATGGGAGCGGCTGGACACTGAGTTTGACCATTTCCTGTTGGACATGAAGCCGTATGTCCTCAAACACCCCAGCAAGACAGGTGGAGAACATTTTCATCTCTTGTTTCCAGAATGAATGTCATCAGACAAGATAATCCATCCATGCCTTTTTTTTTTTTAAATTCCCTGTGGCTTATCCCCTCTGTCTCTCTCCTCCCTCGCCCGCAGAGCGCCAGCAATGTGCAGCGTGGGTGAAGAAGCTGTGTGACCCGGCCTCGTGTGGCGCGGGCGTGACGGGTCGTAAGAACCGCAACATGCACGCCCGGTTGCTCCTTCACATGCTCAAAAGAGGAGTCTTGGAGAGGCCGTTCACCAGCAGACCCGAGCCCGGCGGCCTCAAGGCGCTCCCCACTTACGTGGTGAGGAGGACCGCTCGGTACAACCCCAGTTGGTTTAGGGTCACTCATAAAGAATTTCAGACCGACAAGGGGACTCGGGTCAAATCCACACCCGGGGTCTGTCTGTATTGGTCTTGCCCATCCGCCTCGTACCTCCATCGAGACCCTCTCCCTAACCGGGCTTGGACGCCGGTCTGAGGATTCTAACAGGCGTTGCGACCTCCAATCGAAACTGATTCAGTCAACATGGCGATGTTTTGTAAATACTCAAACCAACTCTTCTCTCTCTTTTTCCTTCTTAGTCGATCTACTTTGATGAACCACTGCGAGGTGGATCAGAGGAGCAGAGCAATGCAGGTCTGCCCGACTGGGTGACGGGGGAGCTGGGGGGCTACTCTGATGACTGTTTGACTGCCAGCCTGCTTAAAGACAGAGTCAGTTCCACTCCTATCGCAGCTCACCACAGGTACAATCCCACTGCACACGCCTCTTTTTAAGGGTAGGCTTCGCTTCTCCAATGTGTCACGGGTCTGTTACACCTGGGCGTGTTGTTTTTCATACTGTTCCTGGATAGTTGTATTCATCTCCCTTCTTACATCCGCTGTGCGTTTTTAGACCAAGTTGGGGGTCCAACCCGCCTACTTAAATTACATTTTTTTTTTTTTTTTTTTAACTTTCAATGAAAAACTGATTTAAACAACCAGATCTTTTAAAAGTCTCTTTAGCGACTGAAAAACACAAGAAACATAAAGACACAGAAGTCCGACAGTTATATTGCGATTATTGACGTAGTCCAGGTTTATCAGTGAAGTGAATGAACTACACTGCAGAGGCTGACAGCACACGTTTAAATAATAAACACTCAGCGGTAAGGGGTCCTCAACTATAGTTGTATGTGTCTGCACAAATACATGTTTAACAAAAGTTGAAATATATATATATATATAAATGTATATAGATCGCTACCTCTGCATAACTCATAAGATATTTAGACAAGCAGTCTTAGGTTATTGTTTCAGACTCTAATTGAACGTGCCCGTGGAGCTGGATACACACAGCTTCCCTGACTGACGGGCCATCGTATTTGCTCAGCGGCTATCTGAGGAGCCAAAAGAACCATTGCCAAGTTGTTGCGTCAGTCTGTCCGAGCTGTCCGTTCCGACTTTTCAAAGAGACGCACTTCAAAACAGCAGGAGGGGATGAGGAACCGTTATTCTGTATCCGTCCTTCTGTTATGATACGCTCCTTTTTTTTCTTTTTTTTCCTTCTTTTTACACCTTCCCAGCTAGTTTCTTAAATAGTCTGATTTCTATTCCTGTACGGTTTAGAAAGGCGCCACTTAGATCTGGACCAGTTGTCTGTGAGCTCACAAAGTGTGCACCTGCAAAAAAAAAAAAAAGAGAAGTCTCATAAATACATTTCATCGTTTTAACACACCCGTGTGAACTCCTTCAACACTGCAGGGGCTCGACAAAGCGTTGTTAGCAATGGCTCTGAGTTTTTTGGGGGGGTTTTTTGGTTCCAATTAACAGAGAAACGCAAATCAGAGCCCGCTGGCTTGAGATGCTCATTAGCATAATAAAAAGTGAGGACTGTAAGTGCGGTAAAGAGCTTAACATCCAGCAGGGCACTGGGTGAGAAACGGAACACGCTGCCGTATGATTCCTATTTGACTTACGGGGCTTGTAGAACGTGTGTCATTATTATTAGGACGTCTCCTAACACATATTAACTCTGTGAACGCGATCAGCTTTAAGTACATTTTAAAATGCCACCATACGCTTCTCCCTCGAGAGCGAAGCTGACACAACTGCTCTTTGTTTGGTTTGTTAAATGTTTGTTTTTTAAATCATAACTATGTTTGGATCAATTAATTATAATTACCTTAAGCTGCCTATAGACTTTCTTTAAATACGACTTGAGCTCTAGTAGTGACCAAAATGTCCAAAAAGGCCTGCGGTTATTTGCATAATTAATGCTACAGCTTGCATTCAAGTGATAGTACAAACTACCCCCCCCCCCACCTGCCCCTCTCCCCCCCCACACACAGCAGAGTGTTACTTTGGTTTCACACATGAGTGAAAGTATGTATGTGTGTGTTGTAACGTGTGTGTTCTTTATCGGATAATCTACGGTAACGTCATTAGTGCAAAACGCCCTGAGCAAATTCCACTGCGGCGCTGCCTCGTTTAACCACAAGGTGGAGCCACTGCTTTGTCTGTAGCACCGACTCAGAGCGAGGACGCTGTTGGGGAGGGGGGACGGAGGGTGGGGGTGGGACGGGAGCCAGGGCTGTCAGCGAGGGTATGCGTCTGGTGGAGGGAGCGCCGGGGCGGAGAGATGTTTGTGTCCCAAGGTCAGACGGCCTTCCTGGGGCTGAGACCCGCGTCCACTGGCTGGGCACCTGGGGGTCAGGGAGGGGTGTGGGTGTCAGGCTGCTTTAATCAGCCAAGCTGCAGCTTCAGAGGCTCTACATGGTGTTCTCATTTTCGTGTGTGTGTGTGCGCGTGTGTGTGTGTGTGGCTCTGGCTTGGCTTGCCACCGCTTTGATCTCTGGGCCTCCGACTCCAGACACATCTGATTCAATTATCCTCATCCACCTGTTGACTTAGAGGCCCAAGATTGCAAAGCTTGGCTCGCTTAGCCAAGTTTCATGGCTGCATGCGCTTGTGCATGCAGGTGTGTGCACAAGCGTGTGTTTGAGTAAGTGTGCACAGACAAACCAGTATGTGAGAGAGGAGTGAGTGAGTACACAGTATGGGGTTTTATTTAAATTTAAACTTTCATTATTAACTATGCACTAGTAGTACAATGATGAAACTCCGTGTTATCGAAAATAAATAATTGTGTTGGTCTTTGATTTTCTTTTTTGACTGTAATTCTATTAGGACCTCTTGTCTTTTGGAGACACTGCGTGTTGACCTCAGTCATGGTTTCAATTAATACGTTTATAACACATTAATTACAACCCATTGAACGTCACTGGGACGGGTATTTGAGTGGACGTCCCACCGCCCAATGACATCAACTTTACAATGTAATTATTATGTAATAATATACAGCTCCAGCATAAATATTCAGGCCGCTGCACACACTTCTGTTATCACAAATATCCTACCGTCACGATCGATGCGTTCTTCTAAACAACACCAACAATTCTAGAGAGCTACATCTTTCAGGAACGTAGCAGTATATTTGAGACCTCCTTCCTCTCTCGAGGAAGTGTTCCCTAAATTGAGGGATTTGAGGAATAAGATGAAGACGAATACTGTTATCCTTCCTGTTCTACCTTCAAGCAGTCCTTCCAGAAACATCGATGGTTCCACAATCCCTAAAAATGATTACACGGCAGAAAAGGAGCACCCACGGGCTCCGTGTGGAGCGTGAAACGGTCCCTCTAGAGCGCAATTTGATGTCTCTGGTAGACGACAGCATTTTCTTTCGTTTTTTTTTTTTTCTTCTTTTATTAGATGTTCCACATTCTTCCGTCTCCTTTCACATCTTCATTCAATTAGCATTAGTGGGCCATTAGTGTCTCATGTGACTGCGCTTAATGAGATAGTGAGCTCAGTTATTCCTTTTGTGATGGTGTGTGTAGTCAAATGAGAAGTTTGTGTGCCAGTGAATATAATCAGTTTCCCCCTGTTAAGCTCCTTGTTTAAACCATGATGGAGCCGGACATGATGAGACGGTGATTTGAGGTGTGTGTGTGTGTGTGTGTGTGTGTGTGTGTGTGTGTGTGCGTGCGTGCGCGTGCCCTGCAGGACGTCCGTGGAGACAGTGATGAATGGCGGAGACGTTTATTGTTCAGATGGCATGAAACACGCACCACAAACCATGCAACCAATGCCAGATGTTGATCTGTGTAAATAGCGAAGCGGGCTGCCTACGCCAGCACATTCACATGCACATCACATCACAAAGCAGTCGCACACGTTGTACTGGAGGGTAACCTGCTCCCACTCTTTGTGTCTTACTTTTTCTTTCTTTTTTGCCCTTCCAGGAGACGACTGTACGAGGAGAGGACTCCACCGGGACCGTTGTCCTCCAGTCCACACAAACGGTCACAGAAACACGGCGCCGGGAGGGTCAGTTCGCCGCCATGTTTCAGACCGTCACCCAGGACGACCTTTCATGCCTTTCTCCTTTTTAAAAGGACGGTTCACCTCAATGTCGAAGATACACACGTTTTCTACAGTTTTTTTATCGATAATACCCGACAAAAATCTAGATTTGATAAAACTCAAATTTCACTGACACACTTCAGGTAAGCGTTAAAGAAGCATGTGTTTGATTTGGGTGTATACTGTCCCTTTAAGAGTCAACAAGTTTGGTTTTCAGATTTCTAGGTAGCCGTGATGACACATTGAAGCATTACCAGCGGACCCGCCGGGGCCAGTACAAATAGGGGCCGCAGTGTTCTTCAGTGTCAAGCAGCAATTGGAAACTCTTGAGCTCAATTCCCCATGAAGCCAGAGGAATTCCCCCGCAACTCATAAGAGTTCGAGTGGCACAAATGCAGCTAATGGTTGTGATCATGGTCCATTTGATGATAACACACACACACACACACACACACACACACACACAGCTGACCGCTAATCAGGTGCACCTGGACGAAACTTCCCCATTTTATGAAGATTGGAATGTTCAGTTTTGGTGCTGTAGAATTGATATTCAGTTCTACTGAGAAGACTTTGTGTTCTGGCCCTGTTCTAAGTTTGGCTGAAAAGTCAGACTGCCAAGGGGCCGATTTAGAAACCCAAGAGACCCAAATCTGTCACCCAAGCACCATAAATCTTTGGAAGCGTTAGTCAGCGCGTCGGTGACCCAAAAGCATTCGAGGCGCCGCTCACGCTCATCAATGCAGAGACGCACCGCTATGAGCGGGCCCGCTGACCCCGCACGCTCGAAATGAAACATTCGCTCTGTTTGTACGGGGGGCGAGGGCCCCGGGGCCGTAATACCTTTTTAATTCAGAGAGAGAGGGCGGGGGGGC